TGTTCTTCATCATAAAGCATATGCATTGTGTTTTGAAAATGAAGCTGGTGTGTATGCAAACATGAAAACGATGTTATATATTTAATGACTTTGATTAGTCATCGAAAGTGATATATAATGATAATCAATAGCCAACCTATGACTGCATCTAAAAGTTTAAATGCTGATTAATCATCTCACTAAAAAAAATTTGCTTTAGAGTTGCTTTCACTCATATTTTTATATCAGTTAATGTCGTGTAAAGCTTTCGGATTAAGATTATAATAAATAGAAAAAAAATAATAAAGTAAAATCATGATTAGTATATCGATGACAATGTTAATTAAATGGGTCTCCTTACGTGCATTCCACACAAATCTCTTGTTTAAAAGCCAAAATTTATGCTGTATTATTGTATGGTTTAGTGATGGATCTGTTGAGCCTGACCCCATCCCACTTGTTTTCTCCATTTCCATCCTCAGCCAATGGTTTTTTGCTCTCTGACATCAGGCATCTTGTCAGAGTTTTAAGTTTTGCTAATCAACTACAAGTGGGGGAACCTTAATTATATATGTTTCTATGTTATATATGTTACTGTTAATTATAACTTCCATAAAGTTTTAGAGAAAGGGTCTCAAGTGATTAATGTAAACTTAGTTTTATTATTTATATAAGTAACATGAATACTTCATTTCAGTGTCAAAGTATACATGCATTACTCCTCCGAGGGATCAAGATTTTATATCCTTAATGGCTTAAGATTTCCCACTGTTTTTGCCTATTATGGATTTTAACATTGTTATAGCTGATCAGATAGTAACTGTTTATTATATGATTCCTCGAAAATCGTAGAAAAACTATATTCAGGCTGTTGATTTTGAGACAATACGATAGCTGATGCAACCTTTTTTCATCAGTATATACTTCGCCACCTAAACAGTTAATTTCTGTCATTAAAAATGATGGCAAAATATCATAATATGATATATATATCACGGACCTGTGTTTCTTGTATTGACCCAACAAGCAGATTAACAAGATATGCATATATATGAAGGGTTTTCAATAATATATAAAAGAATCAAGATACTAACTTCATAATCGTAATTTATTAATATGGTAATTCCATTAATTTTATGTATAAAGCTGATCAGACTACTTAGAAATATCTGTTTCATTGTTTGTCAGCGTTGCATTCACATCTAATTAAGGGAGAGATTGAGTTGTGCTTTCAGTATCATTGATTCTTAACTACTTAAAATCTCTAGCACCAATATGCAACTATCACAAAGGGAAGAAGAAAAGAAAAGGTAGAATAGTTTAAAGTGATTGATTACGTGACGTATCAGCAATTTCATAAGTCAACTCTATCATTTCGATGGGTAGAGATAAAAAAAATGTGTTTTGACTGTGGATTGCACGGGCAAATAGAATCATTGCAGATACTAAAGGGGATTCACCATGGATATCCCCTCAACACTTTTGTTTTTTTTGTAATGGAGATTCTTCTGCTTAAATACGTGCTAAGTGAACTCATGATTCATGAGGGCAGATATTATCTGATGTGGGTTTGAGTTGGATAATGAAGAATCCATCAGAATTATTACAAATACTACTTATCAGAAATGAGCTTTAGTTGTGACAGTTGACATTGACTTGTTCAAAATAAATTTCTTTCTTTTCTAGATGATGAACCTTTCAAGTGCGTAACACATCAGAATTCTGGTCAGATGAATCTGCACTTGTGACTCTGAAGGAGACAAGTGGAAAAGAGGAAGAGGGAAAATGAAGGGTGGAGCCATGCCCTGAACCTTTTCAAGGAGATAGTGGAGATGAATTTTGGATTGAATCAGTGCCATTTGATTTGTATATTACATAATCATGGGACTTAAGGGAGCACAAAACCATGTGCACACCCAAAAAAGTATTAGTTTAAATTTTCTTCCATGCACTGATTGGGTCGAGGGAAGATACTGGGAGGATTCATATTGGATTCAAATTTTATTTAGAAGGTGGAATCAGACAAGAATCATTGACTAATTAACAAATTAACAATTCCCCAAAGGATTAGATGATCAGTTTTACACTTCAGCTAGCTATCTCTTCTTATTAAAAACAGATTCTAGATACTTACGTGTCCAATGGACAGGTGGATGAATCAGTGACGAAATCTCTCTCTAATCAAAGAAACAGATTACAGAATATTGTCAATGAGGCCAGGGTCAGCTGACGGGCTGTGATGCAGTTAGATGGCTCAAAAACTAAGTCAAATCCATGCACGCACCTAAGGGTTACCTGGTATTTGGTGGACATTTGACTGAGAATATTGCCGGTGCTTGATGAATACCTTGTACTTGAAGAAAGAAATCTGTCTTTCTTCAGGCTGCAGAGACATTCTTCACCATGGTAATGGTAAATTCTGATATACTACAATCCAGTTTATCAATTTTCTGTTATAATTACATAAAATTCTGACCCTTTTATTCATTTTAATTGCAAAAATTTGTAGGATATTAATAAAATAAAAGAAACCCAAGAACAAGCAAGAGCCATGGTTAGTTTAACAGAAATTAATGAGTTGTGGATGCTAGCATCATCAGCGGGCAGCTACACCAAGAAAATGAGAATTTTCAATATGGGTGGGTCTAGGACCTAATAGAATATATATATATATGTATATATATATATATATATATATATATATTCTATTCATAAATAATTGACCAAAACCCTCATATTTTATATGTGCAGAAAAAGTGCAAACCATTCTAATAGTAAAAAAGAGCCGCCTCAGTTATTTAAAAATTTAAAGAAAGGAATGAGAATACATTTAGGGTTATGTAATGGTGGATATGGGCAAATTCCACTTCACAAACTACTGATGGATGAATGACCTTTTGCATAATATAGAAACTACTGATGCAATGACAGAGACATGATCGTTTCCATTCTGTAATATTCTTATTCCACTTTACAAACAAAATAGAAGGGATTTGCAGCAACTTTAGATCATCACCTTGACGATTCATTCATCATGCTAATATAAGTAACAGGTTTCAATGGCACAAACCAACCATATATCTGGGGATTCTTGAAGCCTACTGGTGATAAAAATCCTGCCTGGTTGTTAGTGAAAAGATAGGCAGAATACAATCTTTTCTGGATTAATACCATTCATCTTCTACTTACTTTAGGCCTTAACCCCCCATGCTTTTTAGCATAAAGAATGTAATGCCAGGCCCCCCTTTTTCTATGGCTTTATTTTTTGCTTATCATGTTCAGCCATCATTTCATTTTAACTGTTAAGCAAGTGAATGTCATATGATTTTATGCTTCCATATCCAATAATACAAAATCTTTTGCTGTGACGTTAACTTGCTGAAGCTTTTGATTCATGATCAGGAAGCATGGTGGTCCAATATTCTTCTCTCTTCACAAGAGAATCATAAGAATGTATTAAGACAATGGTGAATGGCATTGAAGTCAGGGACCAGGAAGTTTCTCAGAGTACTTTAGTTAAAACACATATTCTATAATGACCATGTATTTCTTTCAATATATTCTGTTCATCTTAATTTGCTATCGAAAAGCTATACTGTGGTCCTCAACATTGCCTTTAATATCATTTGGAATGTTAGGAATGGTATCAATCTCTACTTTCTAGAATTTTCCGAACAGATTAGCAAATGTCACTTTGTCTTAGAGTCGAATTGCCGCATATAATGATCAGATTCAAGGTGGCAGAGAGGAAAAAGCAAATGGAGGACCACATGTCCACAAATTCTAATTATTGAAGAAACCCAAAGGGTAAACCCCCATGCTTAAGCTGCCTCCAACTGAAGCATCTGCTGAGTTTAGAAGTGAAAACTATATCAACATAAATGAGGATATCTATAGAATAAAATGATATCTGATCGACCAAGCTCAGACAAACAGAAATTTTTAGAGCAATTTTTTTTCCTGATGCAATAAAATTTCTGTCCCAACTCAATCCTTCTTACTGTCGGAGTCAAGCACCAAGGCCAAAGTGGAATTTTAAGAAAAAAGAGAACATAATGTGAGATGGAATGAGCTGATTCACCAATATTCCCACTTGAAATAGTTTATTAGTTACCAAAGAAGCTAATAGACTTTATGTCAGAGAATGTTACAGATTGATCTCTTCAAGGAAAATTTGCAAGATTTCTTCCACCATACTCTAGTCATTTCTCTGTTTAATTTGGTCTGGATACTCCAATCATTTGAAACTCTTGAAATCAATTCATCCAAACTTAGAACAAATAGTGTGTCACATACTTTTCTGCAAAATCTGCATGGAATTCTATTGCTCAAATTGGCAAGAGTCAGTGGAGATCTCCATTGCACATGTTTCTCTCCTTTTTCATTGTTGTATCTTATTTATCCATTGGTATAGTTTGGGATGCTGGATGAAGAGTGTTTCTTGTCATTAAATTATGCAAATTTTGAGTCAAATTAAGCAAACCCCAAATTGGCCATAATAAGCCCTTTCCCAATGGATAAGGACACAAAGTTCTTAGTTAGAAGACACTGATTTGATCATGGGTGTTTGGCCCAACTTATGGAAGACCCTTTCCACTGCAAAAGCAGAGAAAGCTTTTGGTTCTTCCCCTGATTGCTTTATTCCCATTTTTTGTAGTCTGTCTGTGAGTCTCATTTACGACCATCTTAGACTATTTATGTTTGGGATTCAGCTAAAAAGTTTTAAGTATTTCAGCACATAAGATATGTTCTTACATCAAATCCTGTGTATGCCACCATTCATTCTCATTAAAAAAAGAAAATTTGCCATTTCATCACTGCCTTTCATTATCTCTTCATAGTGCTGGGAGGACTGAACCAATAAAGAATTAAACAAATATAATGAAAATGTTATTGAACATTTTAATTTCATTTTAAGAAATCCAGAGTCAAATATCAGGTATACAGAATAATTCTAATCCTAGGTTACAAGTCACATACAACTTTAGCAAAGATGCCGGATAAAAGAATTCATGCTTTCTTCAGAGGCCTAACCTCAAATCCAAAGCTAGGCCTGAAGAATGAGAAGAAGATGGATCAGTTTCAACCGGGGCAGGCAAATTCAGGTCCAGACCGCAATCTTCCCTTGCTGCCAAAAGGTTCAGACCTTGGTTCGGTGATGTCTCATCCCCTTTCTCCCAATGGCACCTCTTATGCCCACCTAAGGCTTGACCACTAGGGAACACCCTCAAGCAAATGCTGCACTTGTGCCCCAAAACCATCATCATCTTACTATTGTCTTCCACATTTTCTTTCACTATGCCTTCGTTATCACCGCTTTGATCCTCTACCTCACAGCCATCACTTCTTGTTATCGCGAAACAACCCTTCACATTCTTGTGACTAGCTCTGTGCCCCCCCAATGCTTGGTGTGACCCGAACACCTTCTTGCAACTTGAGCACTCGAACCGGAAGTTTGCACCCAAATTTGCCCCAAAAGCTTCATTTTCTTGAACCCCTTGTTGAGAACTTGTACCACATTCGCTCTCATTAGCAGCAGGACCATTAGCCAGCATCAGCAAAGCTTCTGCAATCTCATGATCCTCCTCAGTCATCAAGACCTCCACTTTATTCGTCTGCTTAACAGGGGAAACAGGCCGGCGATAATTAGGAGGGGGATTAATTCCACGCCACTGCCGCTCAGGGTGACATCTCATGTGTCCGAAAAGTGCTTTCCATGACCAGAACTTCCTCCCACACTCACTACAAGGCCGCGTAATCTTTGGTGCAGCGGGGTCAGGTTTTTTGGTATATTTAGGCCTGGAAACGGTTCTAGGACTAGTCGGGAATTGACCAGCATCGCTCTTCATCAACTTGGACCGTTTCTTGCGGGGATTCGGATCATAATTCACAGCATGGCTCGACGAGGAAGGCAGTTCCGGGGTGTTGTGTTGGCTAGGAGGAGGAGGGAATCGAAACCCTGGATCAGAATCACTGTTTTCATTCATATTTTAGAACAAAGAATGACGAAGAGACAATGAAGAATTGAAAGAGAAGAAAAAAAGTGTAACAAGGGTGGATGTCTTGCTTATGTAGGAGTGTTGGTAGTTACTAGATTATGGGACAGGGAAGTTTTTGAATTGGGCGGTTTTTTTCAGTTGGGTGTTGGAAACATGGGGTGGTTACCTTGGCCTTAGCCTTTACCGCAAGGTTGTGCTTCACTGCATTTACCGAGCATTGAATCTAACGTGCACTCTTAACATGGCAGCCTATCAGCATGCCATGCTTTGGTCCTGGGTAAAAAGGTTCAATGATTCATTGCTTCGATGCTATTTATAAAGGGAATCGAAAGCATATTTAACAAAATAAAACTATGATAGGATCGTCAAATGTTCTATTGAAATTAATGGTAGAGGAATTAATAAATCAACTTATTTGAAAAGTATTAACAATGTTTTTCGAAAAAGATTTTCAACATTTTCTCGTGCTTAGAATGGGGAAAACGTAAAATTAGATGTAAAAAAAATTTCGGGTCAATGAAATTAAACCTATTGGTTCAAAAAATTTGTCCTACATTCTTCAAGTATAAAACAATTTATCAATGACAGACTCTCCTCCTCTCTCTCTCAGATTTAGGAAAAGTAGATGTTTTATATAATTGATGAATATTAATATTCTTCTGATGTCATGGTGAAAAATTTTTGAAGATGGATTGTGATGAAAATTTTTTTTACATAGTGATTCAATTAATAAAAAATATTTTCCATAATCTCTCCGAGTAACAGCTTTCAATGGGAGTGTATTTGAGAGTTGAAAATTTGACTTGGAACTCCCTGGAGCTCAATATTCCTATCCTTTCAGGATGCTAATCTAGTCTAGCCTTTACCCTTTGTTCATTCTCCTGACTCATGTTCTTTCACCCCCACCCTTTTACATCCAAGCATTAGGATTTAGTTGCTGTTGAATGTCTTTGCAAGCCCGAGCTGACACCACAAGCTAGAGAAAGATCCCACTTAGCTGGCTGAACACTTAAACCCTGAGCTTTTAGGAGAACCTTGAGTATACTCAACCCCAGAATCAAATATAAGAAGCCAATTTAACAGGGAAGACTAGGCTTGATAGCAGCAAATTGAAGGATCATTTCAACAATATATGACAGTAGTGTTTGAATTTGATACTGTTCCATAGCTTTTGGTAGGAAAAATATACAGAGGATATTCCAAGTTGAAAACTACAGTAAATACCAGATGCGAGCACAGAAGTGACCACTGCAGAAAAACTAGGCGGAAGGAACAAGTGTGCACGTTTGTGCGCCTGCTCTGGATGGATAGGTTACAACACCTACTACCTTGCACTTGATGCCATTTATTTGTAGGACTGATCTGGTTGACAGGAGGGTGCTTTAGCCACCTTCATAGTTTTTCCCAATACATTTAAAATGCCAACACGCTGCACCTCTTTTGCTGCAACAACAGAGAAAGAAAACAGAATAGATTGTATCAAATTCCTGCTGCATAAAGAAAGTAATAGATGCTAAAGAATCACATGAAGCAAAAAGATGGCAGAATGCGAATGCCACTAATGCCATGCCACAAAGATTATGGACCTCAAACCACTTCCCAGTCACAACTGCTTTGTTGCTACAAAGTTATGATCACAAAATACGATATATATGAATCTTGTAAATCACCAAATAATTGCAGTGAGGGTGTGTTATAAACATAGTACACCTTGACATCCTAAACATAGTCTGTTTATGCTTATGTTTATATCTATACATACATGCATACGGATAACTGAACCAAATGAAAAAAGTAACCCCCCAAAAAATAACAAAACACACGCATAGATATTACCTTCCTCCAGTGAGAGCTGAATTGATCTTTTTTCAAGCTCAATAGCATGTCTGCTGAGTTCACCAGCAGAAAGAGATCGAAGCACTGGCAAGATAACATAAATAAATTTGTAAATCAGTACTATAACAATTTTACAATTGAAAGAGTAGAACATGATAAAACTGATTTCATTGAAACACATGGACATACTCTGGATATAATCCTCTTGATTGGATTGGTCCAACATTTTCAAAAACATCTGCAATTCATAATACCGCTCTTCCCAATGAAGTTTTGTATTTCCTTTTGGACCATCTAACAAAGAGGTAGCAGAAACAGCTGGATGTTGATTGGATTCTGATGATGTTAATCTCATAGCAGACTTTCCAAGAGGTAATAGTACTGAAGGTTTTGCAGATGAACTAGTCAAGGAAGCCATTGGGAGTGGTGCAAATGCTGGAAAACAAGGAACTTTTGGCTCCTTTATTTGGGCTTTTTTTTGGTTAATTTCCTCCATTTGACCAACTTGCGTCAGCTGTTGGCAATTACTTATACCGTCACCATCAAAAGCACCGCTTTTCCCTAATTCTGCTTCAGATTTTCTACGGACATAGACAAGATGCCCACTTGCAGCACTATTGCTTCGAGATTGGTAGTGGGAGGGGCTCACAGGGCATTCAGGGGATGGTCTCTTAGTACCAGAAAACTTAATAGGATCAATAACAGGTCCTCTATCTTTAGAAAATGGGGAGCTTCCCGTGGAGTTGGGCACAATTCTATTTTCGTTCTGCAGATCTCTCAATGGTGTCTTCTTTGCACCAACTGGAGGTTGTTTATCACAAGTGGGCGAGTTATTATCTGGATTCCGCAGTCCATATTCACTGAATTTAGAGTCTATTCTTTGTTGAACCATCTGATGATGTTTGATTCTGAAAAAGGTAATCAGAAGACCATGGTCATGATAGCGAATCCAAATTAAAATTAATCACGTGGATTTTAAAGTAAATAAGGAAAAACAGCTAGTTGGAGATAAATTCTGCAACCTGAATAACCAAATATAGCTTTGTGGCTTCAATACGCGTTGCTTTCTATAATTGACCAGACAACAAAATAAATTACCCTATATTTTGGCTGAAACTGAAAATAACTTAGATCATTAAGTGAAATTAAGCAACCAAAGCTGTAATCAGTACCCAATAATAGATCAGTCAAGAAAATGGGCCAGATCCATAAAAGCAAAGCCAAGCAGACTATGACATCCCAAACTTGTGATAAGAAAATCAATAAAGCAAAAGATAAAGAAACTATACTATTTGATCTATAAAAAAAAATCCATAATTGTCAACATTTCTCATCACAAACATGACATAACAATATATTCACACAATAATAGCCGTTCATGTTTTAAATTTGTTAAGTAACACAATTCTATGAACAACACTTTAAATGGAAAAAAAGACTCAAAATCGAATAATAGCTATTTTGTGTAATGAAATTTTATATTCTTGATCTCATTTGTTTATCACATATAACATTTACCTCTTGAACCTTCTCTTCATGTTTAGAATCGGGCATGAGCACAATTATACACAATGGCCATTCAAATAACTTTCTAAAAGAACAAAGATAAGAAAGATTTTCACAAGCTAAGAAGTTTTCATGCAAGGAGTTTGACCTTAGGCAGAACATGGCTCAAGGGAAGTGAATGATCTACAGTTTAGAATCCCTGACACAAAATTTGTGATTATGGATGAATATCAAGGCAATAAAATATTTAGGAAAACAACCTACGTATTGTAAAAAGTAGGCCTCTATTTTTGCTTTGCTATCTTATTAACTAAAGTTTACTAAGACGCATCCTCTCTGATTAATGTTAATGAAAGTCACATTGTTTTCTTTTCAAATTGCATGAGTTATTTGTCACTACTGGGATGAAAATAAGAAGCAGACGATCAAAAGAAAAGGCATACTATGCTTAATATTACCTTGAAAAAATGGAGTTTGTTTAGCTAACAATAATAAGATACCATCATCACCTATCTGTCAAATATGGACTAGTTTTATCTGATTATGGAAATATGAATTTGCAATTATTGCATCTCAGAACTATTAATAACCACCATAGACATTGAAGGTTAACTAGGCACGTATATGTAATCAAATTAAAAATGGAATTCATATCATTTGAGAATAAAGTTTATACTTATTACGTTCACAAATGAATCATCATGCTTGAAATCAATAATCATTTCAATTCCAAACAAAGAAAACTATAGATTTCCAATGAGCTCCACAAAATCTTATGAAATTCATTAAACATTATCTAGGTATCATTATCTAGGTATCTTACAAAACAGTAAATGCAATGTAAATGAATCGTGCATTCTCCATGCATTTAGGTCTAATTTTATTTTCTCCAAACTTGGCATTACAAAATGTAACACAATAAGGTTTTTTTCACTCACATTGAATGAAAGATATTTTAACTCAATAAATAACAAAACTGAAGTTTACACAAACTAAAAGCGGCACTTAACAATCACAAACAGAGAGAATCCAAAATGGATTCAGACATTTCCACACTAAGAACTGCATTCTTTCACTTTCTTTTTGATTCTACCAATAATGCAAATGACAAATTGCATAAATATCAAGACCCAGTACCCAGGGTGGTTCGTTTAACACAAATTAATCAACTTTTTGAGACATGGGTTCTCTAAAATGCATTGAAAAAACAATACCCATTGAATCATAATGCAGAAATATGCAACAAGATCAAAATATTCATGCAATGCTATCACAGTTGATCATATTCAAAACACTCAAAATTACCCAACAAAGCCAAAAGAAAAGGCAACTATGAAGGAAAGTGAACTTGTAGAATTCAGAAATATGAAGAAAAACTTGAATTAAAACAAAGCCCGACACGACATTTACCTTAGCACATTGAAAACGCAGAGGAAGAGAGAAAGAAAGAGAAAGATCGGTTTCAAAAGCAAGCAACTTTGCCTCTAAGGCTGTAACGAAGTAGTCTAATTTACCGTTCAGTCCTTTGTACTTTCTAAGTAGTCGTTTACATCCCTAACGGGTGTTCGGAATATTCTAAAGTAACACCCTAAACTTTGGGGCATTTATAGAATTCCCCAATATTTTGAAACATGCCATTAAATGCAATTATGCTTTGTTATTTTATTTCAAGTCCAAAGCTTACCAATGAAGTCCTATTCATTTAAGCTTGTATTTACGTTTCTTTGTATTACTTTTTCCTCTAACAATGGACAATACTAAAGTTTTCTTTACTATAACATGTGACGGAAACAAAAATAAGAAAAAAAACCCAAAAAAAAAGAATTAAAGCTATAAAAAAAATTTTGAACTCTATTATTCATTCTGAATTACTTTTATTATTATTCTTCGTGTGATATAGTTACACTATTCATTTTACCCGTTTGTGTACTTCTGAATTACTTTCATAATTGTCCATACTATTCATTACGGCTGCTATCCGAATAACAACATGTTTATCGAGTTTTAATAATGTGAGAAGCATATCATAAAAGGAATTCAGTTCTTTCTTAAGGGTCAAATACTATTGTGAAGGTAAAATAAGTGGTTTTGTTTCTTGAACAACAAAAATACTTGTACTAAAGTTGTACTGTTTTTAGCTGTAAACGTCTGGTCTGGGGCACCTAGGATTATGAAGAGTTTCCCTTTGGGTATCCTACATTGCACTTTTTCCAGAAGGAAAGGAGTGTGCATTGTGTGCAAATTCATTGTTTTTAAACAGCAACGAATTGGCGCGAGAAAACCAAGTCCATACTTTATCTAGCGCCCTAATACATGCTTGAATAGCCGATTAGCGGTTCATCGACTTCATACTCAACACGCACGAGTAAAATTTCCAGTAAGACTCCATAGAATCCATAAAATTCAAAAGTAAACAGAGAAGAAAAGGCACAATGCCAGAAACATCCTCTAAGTTATTAAAATCGGAAAAAAAAGAAGAAGGAAAAACAGTAATTCCCAGTGTATGTACATAAGCAAGTGCGCGCTGGCGAGAGAGGAAATCATCAAAGTATGCATAAGCCTATATCAACAAGTTCTCGGGTATATCATCGTGTTTACTTGCTTATTAAACACGCCCAAAAAGGAATCAGCATGTATGCCCATAATTTGTGGTTTGCAAAAGGCACCAGGACAAATCAACTAATCTTACATGTCTTACATGAGAGTTCTTGGTCAAATTTAAAAGCATGAAATTTTGAGAAAATTACTGCCCGGAATTTCCCAGAAGTCTCTCAACTGCAGCATGGACATTCCCAGCGGTTGCACGTAGTGCTCTGATATTCTCTTGCGTATCATAGAAACCCATTTCTTGGAGTTGTGATAATTGTGTAGCATATAGTTCTTCTGGGGGAACTGGAAAAAATAATAAAAATAAACTTAGTAGTGACCAAAAAATATACCAAATCTAATGAAAGCACTTTATGTGAAAAGATATACGAATTCTAACCATCAGGTTGGTTTGGAACACTCAGGCTACCAGCACCTAGACCACCAAACATATTCATCAACAACTCCAGACTCGCAGTATTGGGTGCTCCTGAAAATGCAATAAACAAAATGAAGTGTAAAACAGAAAAATAGATGAAAGAAGAGCTAGTAAAGAAAGGTGGCAAAAGCAAGCTAGAGAGAGGTCAATGTTAGAGAGAGCCCTTGATGGTTCAAGGACGTATTCTTGATGACCCTTGTGGAGAAAATTCATTACTACAATATGGACTTGTTTCCATTCTGTACCTGGAGTAGCACCGGGCTGTGCTGAATCCCTGTAAGAAAGCCCAATATGGTTAGAACAAATAAGCAACAATAATTTTGAAGGAATGAATTATAAAGGCACCTTTAATATCCATGAAGCTAATATGCCAAGACTAATCATCTTAAAGCCAAATTACCATATAAACAACAAAAAATGGAGATTTTTTTTGTCTAAATCCTCAAATGGCTCAATTTAAAACAATAATTTACAAATTATCATCTAGTACAATTGCATAGGGTAAAAGAAATATATGTCTGACCAAGAAACCAGATATAATTTCACTTAGAAGACAATTCTGATATTTGTAATAGCAATATTTTAAGTATTACAGCAACCTCAAAAACAAAGTAGCAAATGGGAATTGAGGTTTTTGTTACCAATGGATAAACAGAGGTACTATCACTTACTGGGTTGATTGCTGTCGATTGAGCTGATGAGACAGAAGTGACTGCTGTAAAGCTAGCATTTGCTGCAAGAAATAAAAGAAAACAGGGGAAAGGTGAACATAGGTGACTTTACTGTCGAAATAGCACCCGAAAATATAAAATTATCTGATATAATCCAGTGGGGCAGCCTTAGCATGCCTATAAGACCATATCAGCTAGTGAGCTTATACAAAACCATAAAGTCATGTAAGCATTTAGCATTTATTAAGAGAGAGAATTCAGAGATGTGTACTGCATAGAATATACCTGCATTGTCTCAGGGGAAAACATCTGACGGAGTACTTCTGGATTTTGCATCATTTCTCTCAATTGAGGATTCAAATCAAACAGTCCACGTAGTTGGGGGTTGAGATTCATAATCTAAAATGTAAAAACAGATCCTTAACAGAATGGAAATAAGAAAATGGCAATCACTTGACTGAAGTGATTCTTCTAAGTACCTGATTCATATATTGGGGATTAGACAGTATGCTCTGCATCATCTGTGATAAAGCTGGATCTTGCAACATTTGAGTCAAATGAGAAGCATCTGGCATCCCATTCAACATGGGTGGCATATCTGGAAGTCCAAGGCCTGCCAGACCACCAATACCTGGTGTCCTGACATCCCCAGCAGGATTTGATCTTGCCGTAGTATTGGTCTGGGTCCCC